ARATCATATACTATAAATAAAAATTAGAATAATAAATATAGTTCAATAGATGCATAATACATGACATGTTAGTGTATTTTATTTTATATATAGAATGTATCAATGTTTATTTCTTTTCTCTTAACAGATGAAGAACTGGAAGAGAAGATACTTTCAGCTAGATGAAAACACAATAGGATATTTCAAGTCTGAACTGGTAAGTTTCCAGTTGTGTGCTATTTTCCAGTGATGGTTGCAAGAGAATTTGAAGGAGTATGCTYGTGTTTGAAAAAATATGCTGTGCTGCTCCTGCAGCTCTTGAATCTATACTGTAATAACTTTTCATGATTGGGGAGAACAAAAAATGAATGGGGCAGCTGTTAATTTGTACTTCAGTCTGTTTGAGAACCTGCCTGTAGGGCACTGAAGAACAGCAATAAAGCAACTCCACAGTCACCCTGATTTTTGTGTTAGTACCTTGTGTCACTTTGCACTCTCATGTGATTAATTGTGTTGTTGAAATAGCTGATCAGTGTGGGAGAGACAAAACTGTAATCTTGCAATTCTGCATTTAAAGAATTGTGTTTATCATACAGGTGATGGGATCTTTTCCCACACACTTGTCTCAGCAGGGCAGCCAAGATAGACAAAAAACTCTTGATTTTCTGTTCAGCAGCAACACTTGCAGAGTTTCTTTTTGTTTCATGACCTTTCTTCTTCCCTCGTCATCTTAAGTTTCAGATTGATTTTGACCAGATGTTGAGTTCCTTCAGGCTTCATTTAAAAATTAAATGGCAGGTTCTGAAGGCAGTTAAGTGTGGGATTCCTTTTTTGGGAAAACAGACCAAGTGTAAGAAAATCTGTAACTAAGCAATGAAACCAGAGTTGTAGAGTATTATAAATTAAGGGGAATTGATTTTACAGGCTAAATGTAAAATGTAAAACGTGAAGAACCCAAATTTMAGGCTGTTYCTGAAGTGAATTTTGATTTCATTTCTAATGAGGGCAACTCCAACRGTAGCAGGAGTTTGATCTTGCATCATTATCTTTGTTAAGCTGTCAGCAGAACAATTCTGACTCATTGCCTGTAAGAAACTCTCTATTTTTATTTAAAAAACAAACCTGAGTGCAGATTGCTCACAAACAAGTTCCAATTCTGTGAAGAATTGCACTGTGGGAGAGAATGAGATGGTAGAAATACTTGCACTTTCAGGTTTCATTGGGGTCTTTGAGCCTGTGTCAGTCCACAGGAGCACAGTGGAATACAGGCAATACAAAACTCCTAAAATTATCATTTCTGAGCTGGGGTTTCCCTCCAAGAGGTATCTGTACTCCAGAGATGATCTTGCTGTTCTCAATTGATTTGGTACTTTGAAAGTGCATTGTAATGGATGATTGAATCTAAGAACAGAGAAGGGGGTAAGAGGAGCACAGTAACTGAAAACATTGGGTTTTAAACTCTGCATGTGATCTGTTAGAGAGAAAAATGATCTAATGAAAACTGCTCTTGGAGGACCGTGACATTTGGGTGACATTTGCTGTTTGCTCAGCATAAATCTCCGAAGTGTCTGTTATAGAAATGATTAGGGGAAGTTATTCCAGAGCTGAAAGCTTTTGTTTTATCTGGAAGTGGTAGCCAGCTGAAGCAATCCATTGTAACTTGGCTTAAAGAAAACACAGTAGGAGGTAAAATAGGTTGTTGTTTGTTTGTGGTTCACTGCAACAACCACCGGAAAATAATRRTATRTGTGACATTATGTTGTCATGGGAARAGTGAAAGTGTTTCTTGTTTGGATGTTCTCACTTTTTTCCTGTTGTGAGAAACTTATTTTTGTTATGGTGACAGAATTTCTGAATGCTTTGACAGGACTTGCTCTTTTACAGGTGTCACAGGACTGGTTACTTTGTGTTACTTTTAATTGTATTAAGTGTAGGGTACARTTAATCTTACTTAAAGCCATGCCATGCAGTCCAATTAACAAAACATCTTCTATGGTGGTGTTTCATAGCAAATTAATGTAATCACACTTTTACTGAAATGAGCTGCTTGAGGCCTGAGTCAGTTGTCTGATCTGGTTGAGAAAACAGGGGTGGTTTTCTTTGGGTTTACTTCTTGATTTGTCCTTCTCTTCATTGCAAATCCCATGGTTGGTTTAATACTTACAAAAGCAAATGAAATTTTGGTTGACCACCTTTTCCATAAGTGACTGCTTTGAAAGTCTTATTTATGTAAGTGCTGCTGCCAGCTGTGCTGGCCTCTGCCTTTCTGTTCTGGTTGTTAGATACACTGTACTAAAACATGATTGTCCTTTTTCAGGAAAAGGAGCCTCTCAGGGTTATTCCACTTAAGGAGGTCCATAAAGTTCAGGAATGCAAACAGAGGTGAGGAGGGAAAYGCTGATGCCATTACATGGGATGGAATTCCCTGCTTGGTCATGGCCAGGCTRTTCCTCAGAAAACTATTCAGTAACTTGATGTGTGCATGTGGGGTTCTCTCTCTTTATGGACATAGTTTTGTGCATCAAATGTGTTTTGAGAGTTCTGTGTTAATGTATTTCAAACTTTGGACAAGGGCAGAACAGGGGAATGCCATGGAACCGAGGGTTAGAGATGTGTGGGTGCTGTCTGATTTGAGGCAGCAGTTTTAGGAGTTTCTCTTCTGCTTATATAATCTCTAAACCTTTAGAGGACATTAAGTCATGTTAGATGGCTGAATCTGGGAGAGAACACTCTTCATCCTACAGCTGCCCTCCTACAAATGGCAATAGACTAAGGAATAATTGCTTTTGTATTAGTCCATGGATGTTGATGTTTTAAAATTTTTTTGAGCAGGCTACCTACAGAAATTTTACTAGAATGATAAATATTTTTAAACTTCACTTAACATTTTAAATCATATGATAAATACTTTGAGACTTAACTTTGTATGATTTAGAATGTTTCTATTAAAAATATTTGTAGTAGAATGTGTGCCACTGGTAAACTAAAGAGTTTTAGGGCTAAAATTGGTAAAAAAACAATAGTAGAGTGATAAAGAAATGCAAAAGCCAGACAGYAAATGCTCTGATTTTCCCAGTCCTACAGTCTTGTTAAAATTCARTGGGGAGGTTGTACTTGCTTTTGAAGTATTTTTGTATTTCATTTGCAGTGATATAATGATGAGAGACAATCTCTTTGAAATTGTAACAACTTCTCGAACCTTTTATGTGCAGGTAATTTCTTTTTTTAAACTTTGGGCAAACCCGAGAGACTGCCAGAGTTAAATACAACTTTGACAGTGAAATAGCAGCACTTCTTCACTTTAACTATGCCATGRTTCTCAGGGGGAATGTGATCCTCAGGATGTTTTATTGCTTTGTATAGCTGTGTGCATTTAATAGTAAATTCAGAGTAAGACCTTWAGAAATGTCTGTGTTAAGAAATTAAGTCCTTGTGGGTTTCAGTAAAAGGTTAAACAGCAGGGTTAGGCTGTTGTGCTGCTGCAGGTGGTGGGACAGKGGGGAGCTGAGAGCTGATGTGGAACACCAGGAGCTGTTGTTGTTGTTTGCTGCAGGCAGACAGTCCCGAGGACATGCACAGCTGGATAAAGGCAATTTCAGGAGCCATCGTGGCACAGCGGGGACCTGGCAGATCAGCAGCTTCCGTATGTCACCCTGCACTCACAGGAGATGCCATTAGCTCACCTTCACTTGTGCACATTCACTTCTGACTGGGTTTTTTTTCCTTTTGCCTCTCCTCTCTCCTGTCCTGTAGTATCGTGGACTCTTTGCATGATCTTCCATCCAGACTGACATGAAATATTTTGTGTTTTTAACTGCTTACTTTAGTCCTACCTGTGACTTCTGTACGTTGTTTGTCTTGAACACGTAGATAAAGCAGTGCTAACCTAGAGAAGTTCTGTATGATCTGTCACTACTGCTGGTTTGGGATTTAAATTAGAACTTACAATTTCCTGTGAGGTGTTTCTGCTAATTGCTGTGTTCTGCAGTCAAATGACAATATCCTGATTTGTTTGTAACAATTCTCACTGCTAAATTGCCATTCTCTATTGCTGATAGTTTATTGTATATGCAGATACAGATGAAAATTTACAGTAACTAAGATCTGTGCTCAAATGAATTAGCTCTTGCTGTTGAAAATGCAGCAAGAACAGCATCTTGCAGTACAGAACTGGGGCACTGTGACAAGTATTAATATTTCTAAAGCYACGTGGATGCCACCATTTCATACCTACTTGCATTTAAACCATACTGGATATTTAGTGTAAAGGTCTTGTGGAAAGTAGTGGAAGCTACTCTGGTGTCACAGTGTCTCCAAAAATGTCCAGATTTAGCACATGGAATACTTCACAGTTCAGGTGTTGTGTGCTATAGTTTTCATTTTCTAACTGTGGGATGTTCTGTAATAAAATGTATCATTACCCCCATAATCTGAAATCTAAAGTCTAGTAATGTCAACCTGGCTTTTGACTACAAATTTACATTGGTACCATGTTTCTGGTAACTCAGCCTCTGCTCTCAGCTATTTTTTGGGAGCTGCTTCATGCTTTTAAATAAAACTTCCTGTTTAAAAATTTCTCTTTTTGGGGGCAATGAAAATACGCAGGAAACTTCTTTCTGTATGCTTTTTTTTTTCTTTTTTTTTTTGTGTGGGGCTAACTAAGCAATGTAGCTATGACTGTCTGCATCACTTCTTGTTCCCTCTGTTGTCCTCTCTCCCTCCCCAAGTCCAGGTGACTCTAATCTTAGCTTTGCACTGTGTTCCAGATGCGGCAGGCCAGAAGGCTGTCGAATCCTTGTATACAGAGGTATACATCAAGAACTGGTGAATGCAGCACGTATGTGGGCTCTCATGGAAACTCGCCTTCTTAACAGAGGGCTAGGACTAGACACTAATTTGCACTATAAAACGAGCTTAAAAATAATGCTACCTGTTGTCATTACCATTACTGAAAACTAACTCATCAATAATAATCGTTCACTTGCAGGTTTGCACTGTTTTTTCTTGCTTTTTAAAACGATTGGAAATTATAAATGCCAAAACCACTGCTTCTACTTCAAAGCATAGTAAATATTTAAACATAAGTGATGTGCTGTCACTTTAATAGGAAAGTACTAAAGCTAATTTGCATGAGAGTTCATATTTCCATTTTACTTGACATTTGTTTTGAAACTGCGCAAAAGCAAGATTAAATTGAAGCTACCCACAAACTAATACAGATGAGTGCACASAGAACATGCACGTTGCAGCTCTAGGATTTGGAAGGGTCTGTAGTAGCCTGATTTGCATGGCTTATAAGGTCTCTGCATGAAATGATTAGTTCAAACATAGAAGCATTATAATATATAATGGATACAYTGTTCAAAGCAGTGCACCTTAGGAGCAGTGCAGCAGCACAGTCTTTCAGCTGTGAAATTACAGCAAGTGTGGGTAGTCAAATCTGAGTATCCTTCAGGGCAGCTTAGCAAAAACTCATAGAGATCTTGTCCTAATATCCCTTTTGTCCTATTTGGTGAAGTCAAATTTTTAATAATAAGAAGTAAATAACTGAATCATATGTTCCCCTGAAGCAAATGTTTTTCTTAAAGTGSAGTATCAAGTCAGGTATGAAATAAGGCAAAATGAAATTGGACACCAAACTCAAGGCCCAACCAAGTTGCACAGCTTCACCCGGTAACATTAAGCTCATTTATAAACAGAAATATGGTAKTACTTGGCAGAATCAATTTTTATTAAATTTATTAATTCGTATGTCATAAGAATGTCATAACATTCTAAAAGAAATTTGAAAACCTACTGTGGAAAAAAAAAAGTATTTCATTTAGGATGTACGTTTGCATCTTGGACACACATCTGTGATGGTTGGTTTGTTTTTTTTTTTTGCTAACAAATGTGCTTGAGAAATGCCTTGATTTGTGTGTGCACATGGGTTGGCAGATTCCTTTAGTTCCTGGACTAACACTGGTGATGGCAGAACTGGCAGCAGCTGCAGCTCCTAATGCACACACAGTTCACTGCAACATCACACAGCATTTGGATCAGAGCAGTTAAAACTGTAGCCAGCACTGCTCAGGGATTTGAGACATCCTGACAGAACTGATAGCTGCACTGCAGAACCCGAGGAACTTCTTGTTCCTGTTCTGGAGGTCAGGTTATCCTGGGACACCCAGGCATTCCATGCCTGTGCTTCAGACARCTAAATCATTCCTAGGTAGTCTGGRAACTTGTTTCTGTCAGTGAGTAAAYGGTGGAAGATTATTTTCAGAGTTCTGTAAAGGTCAGCAGAATAATGATAATAAACACAAAACAATAACTTGGCAATTGGAAGGAGTAGCTTAAATAAATCAGTTTTTTTTCTAGGTCGTTAACTGTGGAATTTTTTCTATAGTCTTGGTAGCATAAAATTTTTGTTTGGTCCCTGGAAGAAAKTGGGGAGATTTGGTATCCCAAGAAGCGTGAACATGACAACATAAAATGCACATTACTTTAGGATTTAGGATACAAATATCTGATTTAGATGAATAGGTCTGAATACATTTTTCCTTTGGAAAGATGTGACTTCCAATGGCCTTTAAAGCATTTATCTTCAGAAGGTTATTTAACATCTTAGTGAAATGACGAGCCTCAATTTGCTGGACTATTATAAAGTCTAAAGAGCTGCTGTGTTTGATTTAAGGAATTTAATTTCATTAAATGCAGCAGCTGATATTGCTGTCACATCCTGCTGTGAGCTCACACTYAGTAAAGCAGTGCCTTGAGAAAGCACCTGCCTCCTGCTGCCGTGGCTGATGCTTCGCTTTGTGTGTTTTCTGTCTCGATATTTTTTTTGTTATGAGTGTGAAGTCTGAAACTGCATCTTTCCAACGCCACGTCAGTGACTTCATCTGACACATTCCCTTCTTTTTCCAGGAGCATCCCGAGTCTTCTTCCGAACCCGGCCATGCTGTCCGTCCTGCCGGCCCAGCCGCAGCCAGCTCACATTCCACAGCCACTCACGGCAGCCCTCTGGTCCCAAACCCTCACCCCAAACCCCCTGCCTTGGAGAAGCGAGGATTTCACGAGTCTTTTACCAAGGCCAAGCCAAGGAGCTTCAAGATCCAGGCTGTCGCTCCAAGAGAATCAACTTCCAAAGTGACTGAACGGGGCCCCTGGGAACCCCGGAGCAAAAATGGCACTCAGGAACAGGATCCTGGCCTTGTGGATCTGGATGATGCAAGCCTTCCAGTTAGTGATGTGTAGGGATGGAAGTGTTTGGAGAATGATCCATTTGTTCGGTCCTTTAATTTCCTTGCTCGGACTTTGAACCAAAGAAAATTCCAGGAAATGAGAACAAAAAAAAAAAAAAAAAAAAAAAAAAACGAAACCGGAGCACTGCTGTTATATATATGTATGTGTGTGTTCCTGTGCACACATGGGTATATATAATGTGTTTGTGTGTTGCCTTGCAGCTGAGGGTCAGAAATGGACCTTAGGCGTTTTCTCAAAGCCTGATGGTAAATCATTTACTAGGGAGGGGCCAAACTGCACAATTTAAGARAAAAAAACAACCCAAAACACATTAAAAAACAACAAAAACAAAAGTACTTCTGCAAGTAGGCAAGGTACCAGCATCTTCTAATTCCTAATCTGGCAGATTTACTAAATTTGGAACTAATGCTCTATTGCAGAGAACTTATTGCCAACAAATGTGATTATTTAATTTCGTCTTAAACGACAGTAAGATTTTAGGCATAGATGAGAATTTTTTCTCTCTGTGACTTTCAGATACCAGGAAATGCACAAAGCATTTTCTTCTGTAGGATCAACAGTGTCAACTGATTTGTTATCAGAACAAGAATTCTGAACTCCCTTGGAATTCTAGTTATGGTGCTGTAAAATTTCCACTAAAATAATATTTTGAATAGTCAGCCTATTTTTGATGCACTCCTAAAGGTGGGTTATAACTTTTTGCACATTTGGATTTCCATGGACTGCATGTAGTGATGTTTTGGAGGGGGGAGAAGAGAATTTGGACTTTGGGAATTTGGACACTTTAGACCTTTTGAACTAAGTAGGGTTTATGTTGTGTTACATTAGGCTTTGCAGCAATTACGTTTCCTTAAATGTTTAAATGTATTGTTTGGTTACTGTTTGGAGAATGGTTTCCTTCCCAGTGCTTTGTGAACAGTTCTTGTTTCCCTATTGATCAGTGGAAGAGCTCGTCGTTTAGTTTTGTTGTTACTGGTACTGAACTGTTCCTAGTCCTGCAATCGTGGCCTRTTAACTTTTGGTGCACTAAGAATCTGAAGTGCCTGTGTTTTCTCTCACCTTGTTGAAACACTTTTGGGTTAGTGATGTACACAAACCGTTCTTGCTGGCTTGGAGTTGCTCTGGATTAGCGTAGTTTGAAACAGCTCTTTGAAACAGAAGATTTCCACCAGGGGTACCGGTGTTCTGGTGTTGCACCCACTGCTGTGCAATATGTGTTCTTAAAAAGTGAGTATTTGTTGTTTGTGTACATTGTGTTATGGGGCATCAGTGATGCCAAYGAGGAGAACCTTTACATTTCAAGTATTGGATTAGATGGTGTGTACTTTCCATCATTTTTTTGGAAAAAAAAATGTTTGCTTTAATCCCAACCCCACAAATATCTCATGCTGCTGCTTACTGTGATCCTGATTGTCCAGCTTTGTGAGACTTCCTTAAGGAACCTAAGATACATATCAGGCAAGTCCATCTTCTCTCCAACTTCCAAACTGACTTCCTGCTCGAGAGATRTGGATGGCTTTACCACAGCAATTTGTTGATCCCAGGATAGAACAATTGGTGTCATATAAGAATGGAATATAATTGATTTCAAAACCTTAAATTGTATCAGCACCTTCTTTTGGTTTTGGTTATTTTTTTTTTTTAATCCATAAGCTAACTAACCACTGTCTTCATTCAGTGGTATCTGTAAATTACTGGTTTTGTTTGACTCTTTAGATAKATGTGAAAACTAGCACAGAATTGGAAGTTACTGTAAATGTCTGTACTAGTGTTGTAGGTTTTAATTTCTCTAAAAATAAACCAATAGCTCTTTAAAAGCTTATTTTTTCACAAGTACATTCTGTGTGGAAGACACTTTGCATTGTAATATTTTTACTGTAGTCTAACATCTGAAATCACTTGCTCTGGTACAGCTTTCACACTGCATGGTCATTTTATTATATTTTGGTATTGGCAATTTTACACATTGGGTGGAGGTAAAGCAGCTCCATTATGGGACTTCAAAAAAAGAGGGGAAAAAGAGAAAAATGAAAAAAGGAAAGAACTACTGTTGTAGTTCAGTAGCATAGGGAAATATTTGTGGTTGGTCACTGTCAGGGTCTCCTATTTATCAGTACTTTTATAAATCTATGAAAATTGTTAAATTATTTTAGAAACAGTGCTGTAAATATGTCACATTTAAATTGTCAATAAATCAGTTTGGGTAACTTAAAATCACATCTGGTTGAGTCTCTTTGCACCATGGTAAATATTTGATCAGAGCAATATATTCCTTTTCAGCAGGTAAGAGATCAGATTCTCCTTTATCCATCCATAACATCTCTTAATTCTTCAAATGTGATCATGTTGGTGTAGCCCAGGAGTGAAGTTGAAAGTCAGCCCAGAGTGAGCTGATTTTCTTGTGCTGTTCTCAGTTTCTTCTGAGAAGCTTCAAATGTTATGAAAGGGGTATTGATTAAAAACATATTCCRGGGGAAGAAAATRYAACATGGATTTTTCTGACTTTATATGGATACTTCAGAAAGGTTTTYTCTAAGAAATGCTTTCCTGAAATAGATTGTGCACAATTGTCCAGATTACTCTGCCCCTTTACAGAAGAGGTAAATTTTTCTGTATAGTTTTAGGTTAAAACCCACTGTGTTACAATATTTACTGAAAATGGACATGCTGACTCTGCAGTGCACATTCCTGGAGGCTGCTGAGGGGTGATGCTCCAGGATATTGTTTAATAGAAAGTGAAATATTCCTTACCCTCGTGGAATAACAGGATGTCAGCACCACCTAGGGGTCACACTCCAGCTTTAAAAGTCGGTCAAGTCTACTATTTGCTTTTAAAATGCGTTTCATACATAAAAACGGATCTGGAGACTCCACTTGTTAAGTCACTGGACTGTTCCAGGTTGCTTGGTTTTTGTTTTTGTTTTTTTTTTCTTTTAAATTTTTGTTCTTTTTTAGGCTATTATTTTTTATGTTTTATGGTAAGTATTATAATAGATGGAGAAATTACAGAGTGCAGCTAATGCATGCACTTTGAAGGTGTGGGGCAGAAATAATACTGTTTTAACAGTATTTCATATTTTTAATTCATGGAATTTATTAATTTATATTTAACAATATTAAATAATTGCATATTAAATAGATGTGGGAGAGGGAAGAAGTGAAAGAAGGGGAAAGGTGGATAGGGAATTTTAGTCTGAACGTTTAAATCTAAAAAGTGGAGTTCTCTGCTACATACAGTTTTATTTTTTATCAGTTTCATTTAATGACTTAGTAGTCACCTGTATTTTGGAGAATAGCCTATGAACTCTGATGCTCCAAGCCTGTGAGCTGCTGAAATATTTCTGAGGTCTTTCTGTCTGGAAAAACCTGGATCTTGCCCTGTAAATGAGTTGTGTCTGCCTGGATTTTTCACTTCTGTGCATCCTTTTAGCAAAAGAAGCTGGTACTCATTTGTGAACGTGCACTAATGGTGTGGCAGCAATTGAACGCTGCTCTTCAAAGTGTCACTTTTGACACTGTAATCAGGGATTTGCATTTCAAACGAATGGAATTTTGCATATCACTACATATGGTGAGCACATCTTGTAGGAATTTCAACCACTCTGCCGCGTTCTCCTGATGCTCACCGGGCACGTCGGGACACCTGAGTCACATCCCTTCTCAAAAGATGGGTGTCAGCTGCAAGTCCGCGGAGGGACTGCCTTTGTTTTCTGTGAATTACAAAGTTTCGACACTTGTTTTACAGTCTGCAGTGGAATTCGTGCGCTCCTGCCTGTAGGTTTGCCCTCTGCAGGAAGGAAATGCCACCTGACCACAAAGACGTACTTGGTGCAGATTAGCAATTGTTTCTCGGGAMGGGTCGCTTGGGTTCATGGCAGGCTTTACAAAAGACACTCTGATGGCTCATTTAGTTTGTAAATTATGCCAAGAGTTAATGCTTGTCCTGATTATATCAGGAAAAGAACCTGGAGTTTTAAATTCCCTGGTTTGCAGCCATTCTCTTTCAAAGCAATGACTTTTTTTTTCCCCCACTATGTAGCAATGAATCCGGCAYATGTTTTTAAAAAGGTTTGTTCTTTCTTTGTTTTTGGAAGACTTCTCTTGTTATGTTAAAGTAGAGAAGCCCTGGGGTTTTTGGGAGGTGGGAGTAGAAATGTTACAGTTTTTTCCCCCAGAAAATCTGAGAGGAAGCCATTAAGGAATGAAGCAAAATGATAATAATAATAATGAAGCAAACGGACAGAATAAGCCTAGAAAAGCTCTCTGCAAAGTCCAGGATGTTGGAGTTTGCTCAGATTATCAGCATTCCAGCCTTCCCAAACCTCCTTCATCCTCTTTTCTGGCCGGGACCCTTCTAGACCCAGACTTTACCTTTTTTTTCTCTGGCCAAGTGTGCTGTGTTTTCATCCTTTACTTGCTTCCCACCCTGTCCCTGCGTGCCCAGATGCTCCGAGGGTCACATTGCAGGGCAGGGCTGGATGGCACAGCATTCCTGACAGCAAAGTTCCTTATCTCTAGGAGAATTTCTAGCCTGTGATCTCTAGGTGGAGCCTCCYGTCACCCAGTTCCATTTGAAAAGCRGGAGATGAAATATTTCCCCGCTGAGTCTCTGGAGAGTGTTTTYCACGCCGCGTTTTTGGCCTTTCTGGTGGTTCATGTCTGCTGGTTTGCAGAGCTGCTCTGCCAGACAGGTGGGGGAAAAATGAAAATTGCTGGGTTCGCGGTGCCTCTCGGGTCTGAGGCKCTTCTGCACAGATCAGATCCACAATTAACAAATCTATTTTTCAGTAARCTCATTTATTAACCTCCCCAAAGACTTAGCTCAGTTATTCTGGAAAACGAGGTGTTAATTTTCAGGGTTTTGTGTACCTATATGAACACTATAAAATTAATATCATATTATATTTTAATACTCTATAGAAGATTTACATTTTTACCAAGAAGAGCTTGAGGCTATACTGCCTGCTGAGTTGTTTGAAATAACAAATTGTATGCCTTTGCTCTTTAGCGCAAAAAAAAAAAAAAATAAGGGGTTAAACCCAAACCAAACCAAAAACCCCCAAGCCAATAAAACCCAAAGGCCTATTAAAAGTAGCCAACAAGCAATGGATAAATTATTGATAACTTGGAAATATTTTGCCTTATCTCTCCATAGATGTATACATATGTACATACATTAAAACTCTTTAAACGTGTAAACATTTTTAAGTTTTTCTTAGACTGGTTAACACAAAATATTTTAGTATTAAGGCAGTTTTCTGTGAATTGTTCCATTTTGCTGCTTGAGTCACTTCTGAAATCATGTAATTCTCCTGAAATCTCTTTTTTTTACAGAGCGTAGAAGTTATTGGAAAACAGCAGATGTAAAAAGTCACACTGGAACTTTACCAGACACCATTGGAATGTACATGGTTTCCAAACTCCAGGTACTAACTAAGCAGTTCAGTAAGTTTTGCACACAGTTTTATAAGTTTTTACGATGTTTCCTGGAATAATTTGAATTTTGACACTTGGAACGCTGCTCCTACCTGCTCAAGTGGCTC